TTCCAAGACATGTGTCTTGAAAACCTAATAATAATAATAAAAAACATAACAATTACAAAAGGTTTCCAAGACATGTGTCTTGAAAACCTAATAATAATAATAAACGGAACAATTACAATAGGGTTTCGACCAAATGGGCTCGAAACCCTAATAATAATAATAATAAACGGAACAATTACAAAAGGGTTTCGACCAAATGGGCTCGAAACCCTAATAATAATAATAATAATAAACGGAACAATTACAAAAAGGGTTTCGACCAAATGGGCTCGAAACCCTAATAATAAACGGAACAATTACAAAAGGGTTTCGACCAAATGGGCTCGAAACCCTAATTAGCGGCACACCCTGTAAGTAGTCCGTGCTCATACACACGTGACGTACAGCCTCGTTATGGCATTGTACAATCAATTCGTTCCAGTGGCGACGTGAATATATGCACTAATTTCTAAAACCCGTGAACGCGCTCACATGAAATGATTTAAATTAACGAGAAATTTTCAGAAATACATTTCGATACTACGGCAGGTCTGGTTATTTACTAAAACTACCGTAATGTGATGACCGAATATGTATAATATGATTGCTCTCGATATCGGCGTCTGTGTTGTCGTCGACATAATTCAATGTATGTACATTGCTTTTAAATCAGGTTGCCGGGCACACCGCAACGCACACCAACGCGATCTGAAACTACTACCACTACCTACCCACAGATTACCTACTGGATACCGTGACGTGTCGATGAAATTGGTTCCCCGTTTCAGAATTTGTTACTTCTTTACGTTTTGGTTTGCTTCAACCTACAGGCCCGTAGTTTTTTTTTTTTGTTTTTTTTTGGGGGGAGGGGCGGTCGAACCCCCTAAATTTTGGAAGTGAATAGATTTATGATCGTAGATTAGAACATAATAAAACAAACAGTATTAATTAAAATAATTATCGTTGTTTAAATCACTTGACTCCGTGATGTAACTATCAGAGTAATGTAATGAGTAATGCATAGTAATGAGCATTTAGGTGGCAACGAGCTTTAAATATCAATCTTGAAGTTATGCCGTCTCAGCTCAACAGCAGCCAACCAAAACAGGTTGTTATAAATAGGCATCTTTTATTCGGTTTTTCCGCGATGGTGTAATGAAGATCGCGTTCAAGCACCTGATGTTAAATATTAAAACAACATTGAAACAATAATGTAATGGTAGTCACTATCTAAATGATGGGGTGGTCCTG